ATCAGGGCACTGTGAGCATGCCATAGGGACATCGCTGGTTCTTTTGGCTATTGTGTTGAACTGCAATTAGTGGTTAATTTTAGGCAGCCTTGTGAAGGTCTCAGAAATCAGGAATGACCTCATGACTTGTCAGCTCCATTGGTCTCGCAGAATCCCTCCACTGCTGCTGTACTTTTCTCCTGTGTTGCCTTTCTTGCTTGTTTGACTTCCTCTGTGTGACCAGGTATGTGCTGATGTCTGTCACTGTTGTTTGCTCTTTGATCCTTCCAGGCCTGGTGCTAGTAGTCTGCTGTGTTGTAGGGAAGGGGACAGTGTACCCAAAGAACAGAACAGACTTCTGTTCCTAAGAAACCAGATCAAAGTTCAGACAAGTCATTCACTCTTCTATTGCTGACTTTTACAAGTTGCTTCAAGATTCTGTCTTTTATTGCTTTCTGTCCAGAATGCTTTAGTGCTTTTTTAAAATGGAGATCTTTCAGTATGAAGTGCTGTTTAAAGAATTGTTTTATGCAGCGATTTTATGACCTCTCAAATGTACAGTATGGAGTGTAATTTCGCATACCTGTCTATAAGCAAAGTCATTTCAGGTACGTGTATTTGTTTAGTCCAGCTGTAAACTAAATAGTTAAGCAAGTTGATCATCCGTGCAAGCATCATGGTAATAATAATTGTTTCATTGCAGATGTTCCTGTACTTTGGTGAACTGGGATTGGCTACGTGCTCTGCTGACCACCTCATTATTTTGTGGAAGGATGGTGAACGAGAATCTAGCCTCCGCAGTTTAACGCTTTTTCAAAAATTGGCACAAAATGGTGATTTGCAGCTCAAACTTTAAATTGCTTGAATACAGGCTACATGTATGTAAAGTGGATGCGTGTTAAACGTGAGTGTAAGGCAGTGCCTGAGGTACTGGGAATCTGACTACCAGTAATGCTTACACTTGATGTCATGTATTATACTGGAAATTTTATTAGTTGCTATTATTCTTCTCAAAGGAGAATTTTGCATGTTGGCTTACTCTGTCAGCAGAAATGGTGTTCTCTTGAAAGACTGAAGATAATGAGGACTCATTAAATGGTTTCTAATGTTGTTCCCACATGGGTGGATGACAAGATTTGTGAAAATCCTCAGGTGGATCATAACTAAAACAGTTGGGGGTATCCACAGTGCTGTGTGCAGAAAGGAGGCATGGCAAAAAATGTGCAGCATAAACCCTAAAACACAGTAACAAAAAGACAAAAGCCAAAAACCCACAAACCAACCCAAAGCAAACAAACCAACCAAAAAAGCAAAGTTCAGCCCAGAACTGATAAAAAGAAAGGGTGAGGGTGAATGAGATAATGAGTAGTAGGTTACCATTTGAATGGGAAGAGCTAGGGAAAGGGAGAATTTGGGAACTTAGTGGGTGCTGCTCTCCTCAGGTCTACTCAGAAGATCCAGTACTTAATGGTTCTTTCAACAAGACTAAGTCTTGTGCAACTTTTGAGTCCCATCTCTTCCCTTTGAATCTGTGAGAATTGATTTTAGTACAGGAGACTACAAGGCTGTAATTCCATACTTAAGATACACTGGTTGCAGTAAGTGCAATTAAAACAAAGGGCTAAGCAAATCCTGGCAAGAATAGAAGTAAAAGGAGGAAGCTCCTAGTTTCCTAGAAGAAACCAAGGAGCCTTTTAGACCTGCTTTCCTCCAGTGACTGTGGGCACATGCCTTCCTCCTACTACCCAGAAGCCAAGCTTTGCCTCTTGAGTCTGACCATAGTCTCTGGAAGGCTGGGCAGAGGGACACTTAGATTTTGAGCTGTATTTTTTTCCTACCTTAGTCAACTTGTATAGGTTTTCTTATTTTGATTAGAGAGTTCAAAATAACTTATTTCAAAACTACAAAACACGTGGAGAAATTGTAAACTACCTTCTTCTCTCAATTCAGGAAGGTTAAATCAGTGTTAAAACTTGAGCTCCATGTTCTTTGCTCAGCTTGGCTTTTCTTTTGACCAGCCTAGGAAAGGCATTTGGATTACATCTGAGGATAACATACTTCTGGGTTTATGGTATTAAACTGGACAGAGAAATGCATGTTAAGTCTGCATCATTTCAGCTTGTCTTCATCAGCAAGTGTTGCATTTTTGGCTTCCCCAGCTCAAGCTGGGGAGATGAAGTTTTTCTTTGGCTCTTTTCCTTGTTTCAATTGACAACTGTTTAGTTGTTTATAAAGGGTGTTTACACATTGTTACTAAACCTTTAGAGTGAAAGCTTATAAAAATTAGATTATTTGGAGAGAATACTGCTATCATCAGTTATAGATAGAGAGAAGAAATCTCATATTTTTGTTATCTCTTCTTATACCATGAGAACAACTATTTCCTTTTTATGTGACTGCTTTAAGTGAATACCTGGTAGAAAAACAGACATATTTAACTAAACACTTCTAGTCACAAAACTCTGTGTGCAATTTACAGGGATGTAATTCATCCTTAAATAGTCATACATGCATGTATAAATATTTATATCTATCAAAAGTGCCATTGTTCTCAGATACACTCCAGTGCAATAGATCTCCCAAGGGTCTCTTCCTTTAAAGATGGTTGAATTGAAAGTATTAAATTGAGTTCTTTGTTTTACAAATGAATTTCGCGCATAACAGTGAACATAGTAAGAGTATATTATCCCATTCATCTGTTAAATGAGAATTTGTCACTTGCTGTTGGGAGGTGCAGTGAGAAGAATTATGGTGACCATATGAGAATTTTTAATTCTTACTTATGTCCTTTTAAGTTTTTTTTGCACCTTGCGGTAACACAGAATTCTGTATGTTCACACCATAAAAGCAAATATCTTTATCAGACGTACTCCTAATACTTTTACAACTCTGAAGTGACTGTTTTACACATCTCTGCACTGACAATAGCATGAAACAAGCAGCTCTTAGTCACTGGACTAGTCTAGGAGATCTCACGCAACTGGCAGATGACAATTAATCTGTGCTGATTTATTTTGCTCCTAAAGAGGACCTATCTCCCCAGAGATTGCTCTTTTTTTACTTAGTCTGACTGTAGGAAGAAACACGTGATCTTGCAACAAATATATTGATTACACATTAACATCTTGTCCTCATTTCTTGTTCACAAGTTGAACTTTATTTTTTAGATTCCTTCCACTGTTCACATTTTTTTCCTTGTGACAGAAGTGTGACAAAATTATGAATTGAAATGTTTTACATGGATGTGGTCTTACAGTGTTGCTGTATTTAACAAATTAAATTAACAAAGCTTTGAATTATGGGAAATTCTTTTCTCTAATGCAAGCTGCAGTGAGCATTCAGTTATCAGAATAGTTAAGGTACAACCACCAAGAGCACTAGTTCTAAATAAAGGAATGGAAAAAGCAAACAGTTTACAGTATTAGAAAACAGAGGTTCAACTAATAAGAATAAAAATCCATTGAAGAATGTTGCCATAGATAATAGGAAAGAATGAAGAAACACACTTCACCAGAAACACAGTTCTTCAAGTATACACAATGCAGCATTTTAATGCACAGCAACCTGCCTTAGCTATGACAAAAGTAAGGATCTGTTACAATTCTAACAAAAATATAGCTTATATACATTTCTCTGCAAATACATTTTATGAATGTTTCCTTTTGTTTCAGAACTTGGTACAAAACATACAAAAAAGGTTGGCACATTATGTAAGCTACCTGCAGTAAACAGCATTATTGCTGTGTTACCACAGCAGTCTGAATGCTGTTTGCTTTTTGTTTGTTTGTTTGTTTCTTTTCCTTTTCGCAGTTTGATTCTTGATACAGTGTAGGGGAAGTGGACTGCTTCTTCAACTGCAGCCACAGCTTTGACAGTCTAGCCTGAAGCCTGGAGTGCACAGTGTTAAAAATCAGCAGTTCTGCTAGTATTTATTAACTGGATAATCGGAGAATAGTCTAAAATTTGAGCTCATGTTCTGCATGTGATTAAAATGAGATGTACAAAACTATGCATTTGTGCTTTGAAAGCCTTAGCATAAATTTCATATCTTAAAACTAATGAAAAACTATGTTTGATTTCTAACTTATTTACATATTTTGAAGTACTTTTTACATCGCAAAACAAACCAACATTTTATTAGAAGGATAAAGCAGTAAAAATTATAATGCTGTTATAAATTATAACCTGGAAATTTTTTTAAAAAGCAACAGGTTCATCCTAGAAGTAAATAGCACAATATATGAACATATCATAAAATTTAGATCAGTTTAATAAAAGTGATGACCATGCGTACAAACTCCACTTTATAAAAAAAGTAAGGTGATCAAATGCCACAATAGTTTTCGTGTAAAATATGGTGAAATCTTGCATGATAATATCTGTAAGATGGCAGAGAACCATGTGGATGGCACCAGCTATACAGAACATGCTTATTTTCCTTCATTATATGATCAGTTTTAGGGGACGTTGACTCCTACGAAGATTTTATATGGAAAAGAAAGAACAGGTGGTGCTCAGAGAGAGTCTCTATAATAAGAAGGTTGTTTTAAAAGGTGCCAGGTTTGGGTCTTTTACTATATCCATTTTATTGAGGTTTAGTTGTTCTACTGTGCATATTCTTTTAGAAGTATGGTCCAGAGAGCTGAAGAACATTGATAGAATTGGAACAAATTTATACAAGATAAGTGGGAAATTTTTATGCTTATTTGTAAGGCTGGTCTCACTGTCCTGGTAACTACATTGCCCTTCTGTCAGAGAAAGAGTTGTGTGAAGTGTGAGTACAAGTATATCATCTACAAGACTCAATAAGTGCATATTCAGTATTAGAAATTAGTTACAGAAGTACATTTTCTGCCACAAAATATTATTTCCAAAGAGCACTTAGTCATCTATGGATTATATAGCCTCATTGAAAAACATTTTTCTGTAGAATTCAGAGAAGCTTAAAAATTATGAGTAAAATATTTCCATCTTGTTATGTAGTTTTAATTTCACTGGAAAGGTAATATCATCCCCTTTGTAGCCAAGAGTCCGTAAGTAATTCACAGTGAAACTGGCAGAGCAAGTGGTCTTTTTTTTTGGATTTTGTATCAGTTGTTGTTTTCTGATGGAAGCCTGAGACTCTTGCACTTTAAATCATCCAGTGTTTTCCAGTGCTTATAGTTATTAGCCAGGTGTTGCATCAAAACAGGCAGATGTGCAAATGCTGAAAAAACAGGAGAAACAGTTGTACTGTGTATACAGAATGGGCAGAAGAACAGCCAACCTCATCTGAAATTGGCATTCGCCTATTTTTTTTGTTTGTTCAGCTCCTTAAACTAATATTAAAAGGGGAAAGTTTTTTATACTGTGTTCTCTTTCAAGAAAATCTCTTTCTTAATGCAGGCTGACTTTATTAAATTATGCTAACATGCAGCCACATTGGTCTTAGTTTCTGCTACTCAGAAGAAAAACATTGTTTAAGGAAAAAAATGTAGATGAGAAAAAGCTTATTTTTAGCCATTACTCTTCCTCTACCTAGATTACCTGGTAAGAGCTCAACTTTTATAAAAGTGTGTTGTTTGCAGTGAAACGGGCTTCAGCAGTATCACTGCACAATATCCTGTGCTGTACTGCTTCTATACAGGTACTGACCCTCAAAAAAGTGGACTCAAGGCCAGCTTGAGATGAGTCAGTCTATAGGAATATCTGCTTCAGACCAAGGAAGAAAAAGTAAGCAGAAGTACTTACCATCCCACGCATCAAACATATCTGTTATAAAATAATCAATGAAGGAAATCTGAGACTTGGGGATGCTGCAGGTGTTTCTGTCAAATACTGGCATTACAACAGGCAGACCCTGTCTCTTCTCTTCATCAGTCTAAGAAGACAAAACTCTAATTAGCCACTAAAACTTTGCTGACTTTCATGCTGGAGTAGCAAAGCTGTAGGAGATTTAACACAAACCTTAGACCCCCTGAGCTGAACTGCCTCAATTTCATGTGTGTTATTTCATCTGGAACAGGGATTGAAATCAACATCCCTTCCCTTTCACAAGTACTGTTATTTTTGTAGTTCTGTGATTGCACTTAGCTCCAGCAAGACAGAATGCTCTTATCAGGTGATCAGGGTACACCAGCTGAAAAATGGAAAATGAGGTTGCAGAGTCCTTTACCAGTGGACTCCATTTTTCTACATCTCTAGTGGCTGTTTCAAACCATTTGTCTTTTAAGTAAGAAGAGGGTGTTGCTGAGGCTACCTTCTCTGCTGGTATTAAGTTATAAGATGAGTGGAAGGAAAGGTATGTCCTTTAACTGTGCATCTACAGGGCTGGTTTTGTTGCACTCAGTATGGTGGAGGATCAAATCACCTCAGCTGTTTCTTAGAACTGAATTACAAACCAAAAAAAGTCCCATTTTAAGGAGTACAGGCGGCACCTATGCTGGAATGAGCAGCAGAGCAGTCCTCAAAATTAGCAGATGAGGTGAATGAACAGCAGAACAGTTGTCAGCACCTCATATTGCTGCATGTAGGCTAGTGCCTAAGCTGGGCAGTTTAAAGCTAGCTCATGATACCTTGACTGCTAGGGAGATACAGCCTAAGTGATCCTTGATCTTACTTAGGACATGACAGAATTGATTCACTGTGATTAAAATGAAATTCAGACATGTCCTAAGTACTTGTTACAATTTTCTTTTAGTAATAACTATCAGATGTATGATCTGAATTTGGATGGTAGGCATGCCCACTTTTCTGTCTCTCAACTCATAGCTGCTGATTTCTGTACCATTAGTGGCAAAAAAGGGCTAAGATTCTTATCGGTTATTCAAATAAAAACTGGAAGCGTATTTCACTTTCAGGAAGCTGCTACATACATATCTATCAGAAAAAGTGAGTGTGAAGAAGTGAAGTTGAGCTTTCAGTTCTGTCTGGAGAGATCCCATGCCATAAGTATTTACATTGGCCACGTGCCTCCACTGCTCATCTGCCTATGCTGACAATAGTTCAGGTTCTACCTTAGAAGAGAAAGGGCCATCCCAGTGGTTCAGCTGAGGGCTGCGTCAGGCATGGATCTTCATGCTTCCTTCACTGGGACTAGAAGCTAGAATGGTGACAGTCTTGAATTTCAGCCAATTAAATTGACTAAGACTATTCAAATAATTTTGTTTTGGCCAGATGAAGAAAGTTGAAAATGTAAAACTTCCTTTTCACCATTCTGTACAAGAAGCTTTATGATGAGCAAACTATCTAACTGCCTGTCATGAATTCTTCTGCACAAAACTGATGGGCCAGTTCTGGCTGGGAACAAAAAAAACACGTCAGGACTCTGGTGACACCAGGCAGACCCTGTGTGGAACAGCAGAGCAGCTCGTGTGCATTTTCTTACGTAATATAATGGTCAAATCATTAAAGTATACGTACCTGTGCAAAATACTCCTCTGAAATCCTCCCGGCCCATTCGATACACAGCTCTAGAGGGCGACATGGATTTGCTACATCTGCACATTTAATCATCATGCGCTTGATCAGTGTCTGGTTGTCTGGAAAATTCTTTATATTGGCTGTACAGTCAGTGTCGCTGCCTTCGCTCTGTAAAGGAGAGATGATTACAGTGACCAGGGGCCACATCCCTGCTGGCAGGAGTGAGGGCGTTGTTATCAGCTCTCTGCATCTGCCACCTTCTAATGTCATGCAGAGCACCAGGAATTTGGAGGAGAAAGTGATATCTAAGAACTGCAGCCTTGCTAAGTAACTAATTGTAACCCCAATACATATTACAGTTGTGAAGATTCTGAGAATTAATAGCTAAGTTTGTAAAATAAAGAACTATAGGCTCTTTATCAGGTAGGAAGTTACTTTCTCTGCATCCCAGCCTTGTCCAGTTGGAAGAGGACTATGACAGGGGATGCATCCACCAACTTCTAGCTCATAAATGATCCTCAGTGCTAAGTGTTTAAATCTGAGGATGATGATTTTAGGGGACTGCTTCACTTAAGGGAGTTTCTGGAGTTAGATTTTCATTCCTAAATGAGAAAACTGAGGCAGGCACAGGGGGCTGAACTGACTTGCATGACTTGCTGTTACTTTTATATGCAGAAAAGCAGATCTCTAACATTCAGTTCCAGCATATTTACGTATAAACTGCCTTCTTTATGCCAGACTTTGAACCCTCAGCCTGGAATCACCTCTGGTTTTAGTTATGAGAAGGGGTGCATTCTTAGGTAATCTATGAGATTAACAGTAAGAAAACATAGGGGCAGCAGACTGACTGCAGAAAGTCTCTATTTGCTAGACAGTAAAATATCAGACTGCTTACTGACTGCTCTGGAGAGCAGGTGGAGGTGACAAGGTAGTTGTTACAAGGCATCATATTCTGAGTCTTGAACAGTTTACAAAAGGCACACGTATATTATGTTTCTTGTGGAGTAATAAAAAGCCTATACCTCAGCTCATCATGGCATTAATGCTGTTCTCAAAATAATATATTTGTGTGATTATGGCCTCCCTTCACTGCTAAATTTAACTCGTGAGTCAAAAACTTTACATAAGTACTTTTTACCTTGGCAACTAAATTATTGTCACTGTGGTTTATGGAGAGATATTTTGCAGTGACTTTTGCCAGATCAGGCATTCATCTTCTAACTTTATGTTTAGCAGTTAATTCTTTTTCAACATAGATAGTGCAGCAAAGAGCTGCCAAATTAACCCTGCACCTTAACTGCTGTTCAAGACAAAAAAAAAAAAAAAGAGCCACTGTTAACAGTAAAGAACAACCTAATACTACATTCTGTAGTACAAGTGGTTCTGTGCTCCACTTTTATTGTGCGGTAAGCTGTGATTTCCAGCTCACACTGTTGGGAAGAATGGAGCTCAGCAGTTCCTCAAAGTAGTTCAGTTCAACTGACATAATGCTGTTTCTAAAGTCATAAACCCCACCAGTCCCGACTGATTTCTGTACCCATGACACCCTACAGTGCAAAAAGTCCAGTTACAGATATTACTAGATGCAACTTCTATTTATTTTTAGTATTGTTGACCTTCAATTTTGCCTGATTTTTTTTTCAGTGTTTCCAGCAAAGCACTGTTTTCACTAAGGGGGGCTAAGGTAGTCTTTCCTCAGGTAACACTGCTGTGGAGAACCCTGTCAGGCCCTGAATGCTCAGCCTTGAAAGGCAACAAGAGAAGGTAAGAGGGGCATGGGAAACTCAGAGGCAGCTCATGAAACAAACCCTGGCTGGAGCATTAGGGTGTATAACTCATAGGAATAAAGGCCTGGACATCTCTTGGTACAAACAGGAGTTGACAGGTCTCAGGAAGGTATTCCTCAAGACTTGAAGGCTCCAGATTACACAGATCCAAACCCATCAAGGTAGGTTCCTCAGTTACAACCCTAGGCTCGGGCAAATCCCACTGTTTGGAGGCAGGACCATAGGCACAAATGCCAACCTTGCTCCATGCACAGAATTTTCAATGTAAAACAACACCCACCTGCATATTTTCTGAATACAAGATGGCTTTGAAGACAAGTCTTATAAATGAAATGTTTAAATGAGCTAAGGGCAGAGCCAGACATAGAAAACAAGAAAATGAAAGTATTTTTTCACGCTTTGATGTGTGAGATCACAAATTTAATTGTGTTATCTGGGCATCACCACAATGCAAATTAATCAAGGTGAATGAAAATGGTACCTAAAGTTGTCTTGGAAGAACCTAACTGAAATGCCTGAGGGTGTGAAGTCCCCCAGGCACTTACGTGTGGGCTGGTCTCCTCAGATGCCATAGGCTTGTTGATACTGTTCACAAATTTGTTCACATGCTCAAAGTGCTTCGTCATCTCTGTTGCCAAAACCATATCAATAATGGCCTGGCGCAATGTCCGGTAGCGATTTCTAGGAAAGAAAAAGAGTTCCTGCTCACAAGCCTGCCAGACAGAGCTCTGTCCTTTCCTCATACCTGCCTAGAGAGTGCTGCAAAATGCTGCTCAAGGGCTCACCATGTGAGCTGGAACCTTTAGAGTTAGGAGCAGTCTAGGGATGGAGGAATAGACTAGATTGTGCCTCTCTGGGTTCCTCCAGCTCTATTACTTTTGTCTAATGAAAATCAATTCCCTGAGGTTAATAAAAAATTACAACTCTGCTGCATAATACTGTAACACTAAGACAAGTTGTCCAGGAATGGCACCAACACATCCATCTGACTATATGTTAGCTTGGAACTCAAAGCTCAGGTTTTTCAGAAGCAACACTGTTTGGTGTCAGGCTTTCAGATCTCTTTCTCAACTTGTCCCTGCAAAAGCCGGGCTTATGCAATGGAACTCCCAGGCTACAGCACGCCACAGGGAGCCTTCAGATCTCCCAGAGCTTCATGTCGATCTGCCACTACCCACTCTGCCCCATGTGAATGCAGTAGTGCTTGGAAGCATGGGACCTTGTGCAGACACAGCATGCAGCATCTAGCTGCTAGGGTGGAACAATATACCACAAAAGGTATATATCCTGCAACCAAAAGGCCGTGGGCCAGGATGCAGTCTTGAGGTTGTCAATTGGACCATGTTAATGTAATCCATAAAAGATTATTGAAAATCTCTAAAAGCTTCCAAAAATTACGAATTGTAAGATGGGGATGGTGAAGGGGGAAATGAAAACCTTTTTAAAAAATAATTTCTACATAGCATTCTGGAAGAAGTTAAATATTAATATCTGTATTTAAACTATATATGCTTGTTTTAGAAGGTAGGCTCTCAATCTGCCCCAAACTAAAACTGCTAAACAAGCGGTCCACACATGGGCACTCCTCCAGAAGACACACCTGTCGATATTCTTGAAAATGTTGCATTTGCTGTCTTTAGTTGTAAGCTGAAATGCCAGTGCTGTGTGATGACTCTCTAATACGGCTGTATCATTGTAAAGGACAGCTAATTCACTGCCTGCATTGCACAGGAAAGAGTTGGTCCGTCCAGGGTGGTCTACATCATGAATGGTGGCAGCTATTAATGCAGCTACCTCATCTAAATGGTCCAGACTTCCCTACAGGAAGAGAAAAAAATTATTATGTGGCACAAAAATTACAGTAAATATTTTATGATCATTTCTAGGTACTCTCAATTATGCAAACATAAGCTTCAGTGTAATTATCCTACTTCCTTGCAAGGAGGGAGTGAGAGCTTTGTAGTAGCTAATCTTGCAATTTTCCACTCACTGTGCCTACAGATTAGCTACTACAAAGCTCTCACTCCCACCTCTACCTATATACTCATTTCTTTAAAGAAGCTTTTTACTGTGCTGTCACCTAAGCAATATCTTTGCATAATATTCTCTAAAGGATAGATCATCTAGAGATTCTCTCTCTGTATGCTTGAGTGAATGCATCTGTACTGTCTCTGCTTCTACACACCTTTTATCTTTGAATACGGTAGGACAAACTCTTTCAGTTGGAAGTGACTTACAGTGATCATTAGCCCAACTGCCTGATCACTTCAGGGCTGACCAAAAGTTAAAGCATGTTGTTGCCCAAATGCCTCTTAAACACTGACAGGCTCAGGGCATCAACCACCTTTCTATGAAGCCTGTTCCAGTGTGTGACCACTCAGTAAAGAAATACTTCCTAATGTCCAGTCGGAACCTCCCCTGGCACAGCTTTGAACCATTCCCACTCATCCTGTCACTGGGTACCAGGGAGAAAAGCTCACACCTCCCTCTCCAAAGCTTTTGCAAAACTTAATATTAAGAGCTGTTACTAACCAAGAGAGAGAAAGGAGACAGGTTCCCTTCCCAACCCTATTATTTCTACTTAAAAATGTAAATTTGTATAAACAGACGTCAGAGAAACTGTATGGGCTTGCTGGCTTCACAGGAAGAGTTAAAGGGCAGAGAGAGTTTATGAAGCCAGGACCATTATTTAGACATGTGACTTTTGGATGACACACATAAAATGGTAAACACACTGAAATCCTAGCCCAAAGGACTCCTAGGTGAGGGTTCTACCTTAACTCTCTCCTTGCCAAGAAAGAAGGCAGTAGCATGCAGGACATCTGCCGCGTGTGTGGAGTTGTGGTAGGAGTTGGAGGAATGGTAGTTGGCCTCAATGACCTGCAGCCATGCCCTCAGCGTTACTTCTGAGCAGTTTAAAAACTCGGAGACCCCAAACCGGGCAAAAACTTTTAAGCCCAAGTACACTAATGGCCTGAAAAACAATAGAAGAAAAAAGTACTTGTAAAACAGGAACTTGTGATGTTCTAAAAGCAATGTATTTGATGAAGAAAACAGTAAGACCTTAAAAGGGGTGGGGAATGTTAAACAGTTTTAAATTGCACATCTACAGCCTCTCAAAAGCCTGGGCAAGGTTACAAATTATTGTATCTACTATCCTTTCAGAGGTTATTTTAATATGTTTTGTGGAAATGGTGCAGTTCCATTAGTTTGAACAGTTCCTGTGGCTTCAGAAAAAATACCTTAAAAGCCCAGGTCTTTTGTGGTTTTAGTATCTGTCAATCAAACAAAAATACATTTTTTTTCCTGAGGAGGAAAAGCAGTCTTTGAACACAACATGGACACATTCCCAAAGATTAAGAAACCGTAAGACAAAAAAAGATGGAATATCAAATGTAAACTGCTGTGTGTGTTTGTGTGTAATGATGCAGAGCCCATGTGTGAAACAGTAAATATTCTAATATTTTTGGTTCTTAAATCCAGATCCACTCTGGGTTGTCATTTACACTGCACTGCCTGTGAGAGAGTCTGTCAGTCATGTTTCTCATACAAGCTGATCTGCAGAGCCTTTGACCTGAGAAAGGCGTAATCAAAACCCAGCATCTGCAGATTATACCCAGGCACGTTCCTAAAATGGCCATTTTCTGCAAAGAGAGTACAAAAGACTGGATAGTCTCTGATTCTTTGTGTCTTGGAATGAAAATCACTTTTCTCTGTGGATGGCATGGTTATTTTTGCAGTCTGCATGACCTCAAAAGTACTGATGTCTGTTTTCATTATAAACTTTAAAATCTGAGTTTCTTGGTCCTATCACTGGTTTATCCTCCATTCCATTTTTTCATCCCTATAATCAAAAGCCACGGTTGCCTCAGACCTTCCCAAATCATAGGATGAGGGAGGGAAGAGGCTTGCTTTTTCCAGCATGACCATTTGCACATGAGCAGGAAAAAGGGGCATCTGCAGGACGCCTAGCATGTAGCAACATCAGACTATGCCAAACAGTGTCACCTGGACAGAGTGGAGGTAAGTCAAGCAAAAAAGCTCTCACAGATTTGCTGTGTCTTGCTTCAGTTTTTCCAGAGCAAAGTGCTTTCTGCTACAGCTCCTCAACAGCCTTTCTCTGGGCACCCAGGGAAAGGAGTCCAGTACCTTTTATTTGTAACAGCCTCCAACTCAAAAATATTGAAGTCCCAGCTTTCCTCGTTATCTAGGAGCTGTGCAATACAGAGTGGAACATCACTGATGGTATTTGGCACTGGAAGGTGACTGTGGCTCAGGTTCATATCTGTTGAAATGGAATTTGGGAATTAGCACATTTCTGGATTATTCCCCCCACACTACTGCAACCCCCTGCAGAATTCCATTTAGAAAACAACTCTTTTTCAAGAAAAACAACTTTTTCCTCACATGAAAAAGTCTGTAAATGCCTATAATATGAAAGGTTTATTACATGTTGGTTGAACATTAACCAAAAATATCAGTGAACATTTCTTTGAGTGACAATTCATTTTTTTGCTAACATCTTGAAATGCCTTATTTTAATTATTTGAACCTGCTTCAACTCCAAAATGGACGCAGTCTAGCACTTGTTCTGCAGTCATTTAGCCAACCATTTCCAAAGACATATCCCACTGCAAATTAGCCTGAAGCTTTATGTCAGCAGCATTGACAAGGGAAGTCACACATGCGAAGGAAATTTAAAATGGTGGCTTACTCTTAGAAAACACATACTCATTTCCTGACAATCTTCTCAAGCCATCCTGGAAAAAAACACAAGTTTATCATAAGTTTTAGGCAGAGAGACTATGCATCACTAGCATCACTAGTTGCAAAAACACTACATACACTTTGTCTTTAGCTACTATTCCTGAGTAATAAAAGCCCTGCTATTACTGTGGCATTATAAGCACCATCCTTGTTTTAAGATTTTTTGATCCTTGAAAGGATCCAAGGAAGGCTAGTATGAGATCTCCAGAAAGGATATTATTAACTATGCAGTGTATTGCCCTTTTTGACCCTTTCATTGGCACCTGCAGGACCTCACCATTCAAATTAGCCACTGTAATTTATTTTTCATTTTCTTTATATTGGCAGGAATTAGTGTACATTAAAAAATTAGTAAATCTATGATGAAATATAGACAGTATGTCTCTTGCTGCTGTTACAGTCAGGACTTAAAGCAATCTCACTCATACACTGTACCAGCTGTAGAGCAATCCTTCTAATCCCGTCTAAGCTTCTAGAGTTTCTAAAAGGTATCCCCTTCAGTATCTCCTGAGACAAATCAGACTGGATGATATGGTTTCCAGTGGCAACCATGTTCACTTTTATGTGAGGATGAATGCAGCCAATGGACTGAGGTGTGACCATATCTTACTACATCTTAGTGCCTGCTGCTGATAAAGAGGTCGAAATCCGAGAGTGAAATGGTGATGAATCCCCTTTCCATTGCTTAGGACATTTTAGCAAAGCAGAACACTGAAGTGTGGTGTAGGACACTTATAGTAGTAACTTCATCTCTACTGTTTTTACTCACAGTCATCAGACCTCCAACAAGATCACTTGTATGAGGATCTTCATCTTTGGTACCTAGCTGAGGAGAGTAAAGCTCTGTTGTTCGCAGGATTTCCAGAACTCTGTCCAAGGCCTCTGCTACTGTGATGGGGCTGTTTTCCTGGGCAGCATTAATTATGTTAATGACCTGAAAGCAGATTAAGGAGGCAGGCAAAGAAAAGTGAATGGCACTTTTTTCTTATTACATAGTCTTTATTCTTGACTTCATTATGCTAATTCTCATTTAGCAAATGCAATGCAGTTCTCCCAACCCTTAAAATACAACTCTGAAAATGTAAATTTGTGCTCAGATTTCCTGGTATCCATCTACTATTTTTAACTGTAAGACTCTTGGGAAGTGAAAGCAGAAGGGTGTGAAATATCTGAAATAGTTGCAAGTGGGTGGACCAAAAACTAGCAATGTCCCAGTCCTTCAGCATATCCAGTTCTGCTCTGAAGCAATCATTCAATCCCTAGAGGAAAACCCAAACAAGTAAATTCCTGGATATGACTCAGATATCCTGATGTAGGATGTAAAGCCTTAGTTTTCTCCATGCAAAAAATAAAGGGCAGAGAGCAGAAAGAGCTCAGCTGTAGAAGAAGAGGATGGCTCTTTGAAACCCACCTTGTGCCTCAGCCACAATCTGGGAATGACACAATGATACAGCACCAAGGGCTGTTCTTGGTCTGTCAGGACTGAGGAAGGAAGCCCCAATGCTGTCTTCTCCAGCAATGAGAGGCTGCTGCAGGGGCACTACAGGCTTCCCTGCAGGTATGACTGAGGATAAGGAAAAGTTCTTACAGTCACAGTAGTGTTGGGAACTAAGAACTTGATGAGAGCAAGAAAAGATGGGGAGAGAGGAAGAAGTGAGAGTGGGAAATACTTGGCACCCTGGTGTGTGTTTCAAATGACTTTGCAGCTGGTTTGCAACAGCAGAGTTTGTGTTAATACAGATAGTGAAGAAAAGACTGCAGGAAAGTGGGGGAGACAGAAAATGGTGCAGGTGCTCCTTCCCCTGTGTGCTATCTTGTCAATAGGAAGAGCAAAGGTGAGACAGGAAGCGCATCCTCCTACAGATACACAGCCCAACAGAACAGAGTCCCCTTCCTGCCAGCAGCAGTGCATTTAACAAGGGCACACTTTCCCTCTTTTTCATTTTCTTTTTTATGACTAGGATTGCAATGATGAGATGTAAAAGGTAGTAAGGATAAAAAAAAAGTTATTTATATTATTCTGTTAAATACAAAGTGCAGGAAACCTCTGGTTTTATGTTCACGAACTACATACTTCCCTATGAAAGCAACTCCAGACTCTGAGTGTATGGAAAAGGCAGTGCTCAGGACTCACCTTTGTGATAGGAGCTTCTATGGTCATTGAGTGAATCCTTGCCACTGAAGAGTACCGTCGGGTCTGTAAACTTGGAGCTGCCGTTCAGGAGAGCCATAGAGTATAAATCAGATGACAGACAGCATTTAAAGAGCAGAAGGCTGGGGACCAGCACAACAGAATCCAGCCTCGTATCCCCACTTCTGTATCTCTCCTCCTGCAAGTTCTTACTTTATTGTTTCATTTCTTGCTCTGTTGTCAACCTCCTTGGCAGCATCCCTCACTTTTACTATCAGATTTTCCATCCATCCTTCACTTTGGAATGAAGCTGTACCTATTTTGCTTCATGCCCAGTACCTGCCAGTTGCTCTTTTGATTGCTGTGGATCTCTGTCAGACATGGCTCCTCTGGTGAGTGTGTATGTGCGTATGTCCCTCATCTTTGGTGATACAACTGGTCTCATGAAACCCATTCCTGCTCCCCATAAGCTGTCCTTCACATACTACATAGAGGGGCAGAAAATAATCCCTGCCACCACTGCCCCACCTGGGACTGTCCCAACCAGTCACAAATTGGATCAGGAGTAGAAGTACTGCTCTCAAGTAACCAGCAGCAATAAATCCATTCATGTTCAACAAGAATAAAACAAAAATACTGGTTCAGGAGCACAAGCTGAACCTTTCTAAGAGAGGTGGCACTAACACTTCACCACACACTCTTTCAGCAGGCTTCTCCTGTCCTTTTGCACAGCCACTCTTCTCTTTGAAGGCACTCTGCACTGCCATGCATCTTGTAGTGATGCTGGTACTTATGCTGGGGCATTGTTTTGCAAATTGGAAGAAAGAAATTTTGCAGCAGTTATAAAAAACTGGAGTAATTTCTCTTTAATCATGTATGAATCTGTCTGGTTCATCTTCTGCAGTTTTATTGCCTAGGACAAATGTTCTTTATTTATTTGTAAATATATATATATATTTATAATATTATATATCAATATATAATCATTCTTGACATTTTACTTTCTTACCATCACTACTTTGAGATGTTATTGACTTAACATCAACTGAGTCTTTCCTTCTGTTCTTGCATTTGTAGGAATTGGATTCTGTAAATACAAACCAAAAACTTTAAAAATGCATCGAGTAAAACATCTACAAAGCATCTTCCATCTAAAATTATGAAAATTTAATTAAACAATCTTAACAATATGACATAAGGGGGGAAATATTATAATCTCTGCACATGAGAACAAGAAACTCAGTGTCTATCAATTTAAAGCAACTTGTCTGAAGTCACCTGGAAAGGTGTTTCACAAGGAAGTCAAGATGCCTTATGGAACAGGAGACTTGTTTCACCTAACTTTAGCTTCCTAAAAGCAGGAGTCTTGCAGGCTCTTGGTGTCTAAGGTGGTTATCAGAGGCCCTGCTTCAGGAGAGATGTCTCAGGCAGGTGCATCGAACTCATCCGGCAAGACCCTTTTGCTTTCCACCAACCACTGAACAAGTCCGAGTTTAACAGCCTAAAACTTTAGCCAAGTGCAGAAAGTCCCATCTCAGTCTACACTCTTCTAGCCCAAGCATAATTCAGACTCAGACAGCTTTTGCTTTTATTTGCAGTAATTTTTTGTACTCTGTGTTAAGGAAAAATCCAGCATGCTGAGAATGATTATAAACAAACAGTTTGGCTGCTGTGAAAATTACCCATGCAAAAAGCTGTTATTCTTAAAACTACTGTTTGCTAAAGCAAGAGAAATTATCACATCCAGCCAAATTCAAACGCTGGATGAAATACCAGGGGAAAAAAAAAAAAAAGAAAAAGGTAAAATTTAATTTTCTTCCAAAATATTACAGTCTTCAGTCTCCCTTCTGTTGAAAAACAGCAACCATGCATCTGTTCACCTCTTTGCAAGAGTCTCTATAGGACCTACTCCCAGAGTATCTGAAATGCCACTCAAGGATCAGAGACCCCAGTAAGCTTTTAAAAGCAGATAAAGCCATCTGAAGATTCAGAAATACCATGACATTGATATTCTTAATATAAAGAACATGTCACAAGACAGGATGTAGGCAGCCTGTCCTTAGCAAAATAAAATGTTAATATATGATTCTCCAGAATTAAAAGTTTGTCCATCTTAAAAATTACTGAAATGCGATTTCTGTCTTAATTCTCTTTTTCTACCATGGATATCTGCTAGGAACTCCACACAGTGGAGAAGAGACAGTCTAGGAGATTCCTGGAGTGTATAGAGGATAATTTCCTTCTCCAGCTGGTAAATGAGCCTGCAAGAGATGGGACCCTGCTAGACCTTCTGTTCACAAACAGAGAGGGCCTGCTGGGAGATGTGGTGGTTGGAGGGACACAGTCACCACGAAATAATAGAGTTTTCAATACTCAGGGATGCAAGGAGGGCCATCAATAAAACCTCTACACTGGACTTCTGGAGGGCAGATTTCAGCCTACTCAGAAAACTGGTTTAGAGGGTACTCTGAGAAACTACCCTTGAGAACAAAGGGGTCCAGGAGAGATGGACGTGCTTCAAGAAGGAAGTCCTGACTGCACAGGGGCAGGCTGTCCCAGTGTGCCCAAAGACAAGCCAACGGGGAAGATGGCCAGCCTGACTGAACAGGGAGGAATTAGGGTAAAAAAGAGAGCCTAAAGATTATGGAAAAAAGGGCTGGCTACTCAGGAAGAGTTCAGGAATAAAGTTAGGTCTTGCCAAAAGAAAATCAGAGAGACGAAGGCAAAACTTGAACTTGATCTTGCCACTTCTGTTAGGGATAACAAAAAGTCTTTCTATAGATGCATCAATAGCAAAAGGAGGGACAAGGAAAACCTCCATTCTTTATTGGACATGGATGGGGATAGAGTTATCAAAGATGAGGACAAGGCTGAGGTATTTAACACCTTCTTTACCTCAGCCTTCAACAGTAAGACAGGTTGTCCTGAGGACAGCTGGCTTCTGGAGCTTGTAGACAGACAAAAAAAGCTGAATAGCCCCCTGTACTCCAGGAGGAGACAGTCAGAGACCTGCTGAGCCACTTGGATCCTCACAAGTTCAATGGGACCAGATGGGATCCACCCAAGGGTGATGAGGGAGCTGGCAGAAGAGCTCACCAAGCCACTCTCCATCATTTACCAACAGTCCTGGCTCACTGGGGAGGTCCCAGATGACTGGAAGTTGGCAAGTGTCACACCAATCCACAAAAAGGGCTGGAAGGAGGACCTGGGAAACCACAGACCTGTCAGCCTGACCTCGGTGCCTGGCAAGGTTATGGGGCAGATCATCCTGAGTGCAATCACACAGCAGCTACAGGATGGACAAGGGATCAGAGCCAGCCAGTGTGTGTTTAGGATGGGCAGGTCCTGTCTGACCAACCTGATCTCCTTTTATGATCAGGTGACCTGCCTGGTGGATGAGGGGACGGCTGTGGATGTGTCTGTCTGGACTTCAGCAAAGCCTTTGACACTGTCTCCCATAATATATTCCTGGAAAAGCTGCAGCCCATGGCTTGGACAGGGGCACTCTGTGCTGGGTCAGGAACTGGCTGGAGGGCCGGGCCCAGAGAGTGCTGGTGAACGGGGCTGCATCCAGTTGGCAGCTGGTCACTGGTGGTGTCCCCCAGGGATCAGTGCTGGGCCCAGTTCTATTTAATATCTTTATTGATGATCTGTATGAGGGGATTGAGTCCACCGTTAGTAAATTTGCAGGTGACAACAAGCTGAGGGGGAGTGTCGACCTGCTGGAAGGCAGGAGGGCTCTGCAGAGGGACCTGGATAGGCTGGAGAGTTGGGCTGATTCCAGTGGGATGAGGTTCATCAAGACCAAGTGCCGGGTCCTGCACTTTGGCCACAACAACCCCCTGCAGCGCTACAGGCTGGGCACAGAGTGGCTGGAGAGCAGCCAGGCAGAAAGGGACCTGGGGGTGCTGATCGACAGGAGGCTGAACATGAGCCAGCAGTGTGCCCAGGTGGCCAAGAAGGCCAATGGCATCCTGGAACAGTGTGACCAGCAGGAGCAGGGAAGTGATCCTTCCCCTGTACTCTGCGTTGGTGAGGCCACACCTTGAGTATTGTGTTCAGCTCTGGGCCCCTCAGTTCAGGAAGGATATTGAGGTGCTGGAGCGGGTCCAGAGAAGAGCAACGAGGCTGGTGAAGGGACTTGAGCACAAGTCCTATGAGGAGAGGCTGAGGGAGCT